AAATAATGTTGCTTCATGTAATTCCTCTCTAGTGCTAAGAAAACCTGCGCTTTAAGGCACAGGAGCTACAGCCAGGCTGAGCCACAACGTTTTAAAAGCTGAACTTGGTTGATTGTTTAGGAAAGCATGTAGTGGGGAGGCTGAAAATCCCCTTGTAAGTGCGGTGTGAAGTTTTTACCACAAGAAAAACTTTCTGTTTCTAGTGTGGTTAAAGAGTTTAATCCAATTTGCTGCCAGTTTAAAGTAATTCCAGTTTTGTGCCTTTTCATTTTTGAATTCTGAATGGTTTAGTTTGTTGTTTGACAGGTCTTGCTGATAACTCTCCTTTCTGATTTTACACTGATGGTGATTTATTGTGCTAAATAAATGTTTGCTGTCTGGCTTGTTAAGAAATCCCATAGCCTAGATTTAGTGTAGGAACTGGTCTAGGCTAGAGATGGAATGTTCTGATGCTGGGGTTTGGCAGAAATAGGTACAGTCATGCTCTTTAGGTAGGAGGGAAGGCTTGCACACAAGAATATGCTGTGTAGCAAGTATTCTGGAAGCAAACTGGATCTCCTATTTCTTAGCCCTATATAACAGGAACGTGGCTACTCCTGGCCCCCCTCTATGCAATATCCCAATAGAAATGTCTTCTTTAAGTGAAACAAGAAATGTATTTCAGCGTAGCACTTAGTTGACTTTTATAAGTTTGGAAAACACTGTAAGTCCAGGTCTAATGTTGAGTAGAGAATGACTGAACCTGGATTCTTGTGCCTGCCTTGAAAAGCAGAATTTTATTTGGTTTTATGCTGGACTCTCTTGGGGTTTTTTTGTTTGCATTTTCCCCTCAGATACAAAAACCACAAACCAACCCATTTAGGAAGGTTTTATCTCAGTTACTTAAAGAACAAGCTGCCACCTGCACAGAGCATGGAGCACTCTGACAGGGACCAAGGGGTAGACTTTATGTCAATATGTCATTTCTGACATACTGTCATTTCAGCTTGGATTTGAACATACTAAGGACAGGTTTTTACAGAAGATGAGGCCAGTGGAAATATTATGCTTTTTAGTCACTTTTCTTGGAGAGGGTTAAAGCAAATAAACATGCAAGGGCTCATCCTGCTTTATAGACAAGTCCATGTGAGCTGCCTTGAAGGACGGAAGTGGAAGGAACAAGTACCCTCTCCTGGTGTCTACTGGCACCAATCCCTTACTGCAACTTGGGCTCCTTCCAGGCATTGGATCCATGCACCATTGTTGACAACTGTTATTTCTTTTGACTCTTCTGGTGTGCTGGAAACAGTCTCTGCTTTGGAAATCATTACAGCTGTATAACTTGCAAACTATGAGTAATGGTTTCCTCCAAGTTAACTCCCCCCTTTTCCTATGTTTTTCCACTGTGCTTGTCTTTCTCCCTGTCTGCCCAGTTCTGCCTGGAGGTGAGGTATTGGATCTTAGTGCAGCAGCTTCTCTAGAGCCTTGGAGAGGAATTGCAGGTAAAAATCAGCTTCCCTGAACAGGACATTTCTCAAGGATAAGCCTGGGAAATAAATTAAAAACTTCAGTAAATTCTGAAATGCAGAAGGGAATACTGGCTTAATTGCTATGTAATAAATTTTCCTTCTCCTCACTGTCATCTGGAAAGAGGTTACCAGCGGCCTCTTTTTCTCCTAGCGAAAAATTACCACATCAACTCTGCTTCCCCTTTCTCACCCCTTTACCTCACAAAAGTACATTCTCTCCAATGTGATTGAATTGGTACAGGTCTAAGCATTGTTGTTGGTTTCTGTACAGCTCTCCAGTCTCCTGCTTGTATTTCAGGCCTTTGTGTTCCCCGAATTTTGTCTTTTTTCCAGTTATAGCTCTTGGTCTTTCAAAAGATATTGCCATGGTCTACAAACTTTGTCTTGCCAATGTCTTTAGATGATGCTGGCTGCAACACTGCCACCTTCTTCCTTGCAGGCCAGCCAGTGCTGTTTCAGTAGAGTTTAGGAACACAGTAGCATCATGGATGTGTGCATCCCTTGGCAACTTAATCTCCAAGGGACTGGCATGTATGATTTGAATTCCTGGAGTGCTAGGGTATGAGCTTTTGAGCACTCTTCATGTGGCTGTCCTGTTGATGATTTGCTGTCCTGTCAATGATTTGCTAATTTTATTTCTGTTTTATTCAGGAGGGTGTAGCTAGTGTTTTTGCCTTTGAGAATGGGTAGAGGTCAAGAGAAAAATCAATTCCTTTCAATTGTCTGGAGAAGTAACTAAAGCAGCACTATTTTTTAATATCTCTTAAGAACTTTAAGCTTATTTAAAGATTCCGCATTTGTGTTTCTCACTGTTGTGACTCAATCTCTGCTTGAGGATCCATGAGGGAGAAGGCAGAAGCTGAACACTGACTTCAAGTGTGTTTAGAAAAGGGTGGAAGAGTTCCTCTGCAGATGGACAGATAGCGTGTATGTGTGTATATATGCACACAGACATAATGCCCATACTGTGTGTAGGGAGTATATATACAAACGTGTGTGTATGTGTATACACAACTCGCATATCCCTGTTTAGTCTCTGAATAGATGGAAGTGTCACTTGCTTCTAGTATTTTCCTCGATTATAGTTGTGGATGCTGTGTCCAGGAACCTCAGACTTGTTTCTGTGGCAGCTATTCCCAGGCTTTCAACATCCCACCTTCCCTCATTCCTCATGTGTCGATAAGAGGAAAAGAAGAGTGTTGTGACACCCACACTGAGCATCTCGTGGAGGGGCTAAGAGCATGGGTAGAGATGTCTGCAGATGACAAGCTCATACAGGAAGGACTCGGGTATAGTAGGCTGCACTGGTCTCTTGGCTTTGCACTGGGGCTTTGTGAGGCAGCCCAGATCTCTCTCTCAATCTCCCTCTCTTTCTTTTCTTTTCTTTTCTTTTTTTTTTTTTTTTTTTTTTTTTTTGTTCTTTT